GAGTTTGACTTCTGCCTGTTAATTGAAATTTTGATAGTATACATGCGGCTGATAATCGAATAATACTCATGATTCATGCATTAATTATAACATAATCTAAATCACATTATTTATAATAAATTTATCGATCATTATTTTATTATTTGATTAGTTCTACTGCTAGTCATATCTTCTCGATTAATATAATAACTGGTCTAGTATAATTAAGTTGTTTAGTAAAATCATATTGAATCATATATGTTTATTAATCACTAACATCGATTTAATAAAAGCATTCGTTTCAATCTGTTTGCATCCGTTTCAATTTACATCACTTGTCTTAGAAAATATTCTATATAGACATCTAAAATTATTTAATATTGATCGGTTGTTTTAACAAAGCATATAGTATAATTCGATTCACTTGCTTAATCGTTTGGTCTGATGTTTCTGCTTTTACTTTTGTCTTATATTTCTTTATTTAAGTTTATACTAGATTCTCACCCGCACTATGTGCAGAAATATTTGTTGTATATGTTGTAAACTATACTTAGCTTTCGTATTTTATCGTATATAATATGTTCTAAGATTAGATATGTATGGTTTTAGTTTGTAAGTAGAATCGATTAGTTTGAAAAAGTATGATGGTTGCTTTCTAGCTTGAAGGTAGAGAGTAAGTATGTTAAGTTTTGTGCATGTACATATGTCTGTCATATTGTTAACAAAGAAGTTGATCTCGAGAAAGATAAGTTTGTCAAAAGACTATTATTATATGGTAAAAAATAAATACATAAATTGAAGAAAAATCTCCAAGAAAACATTGTGAAATAATCAAATAAGATTTATTGTTTTAAATTACATAAATGAATGTAAACTTGTATGTCTTGTATAGACAAAACTTGTTCAACCATGAATGTATCATTTCCTTCACGAAGGTTGAATTTCTCCGTAGAAATGAGAAAATTGAACTTTTTTCCAATAATGCTTTTCAAAACACCTGGCAACTCTTCAGGATTCTCAACCTGAGGAGTATATAAACGTACTATAAGCTGTTTTGATTATTTCATTGATAATCATGACAGTTCGAAAATTGCTAGTAGATAATATACCTCATTGTAATCTCCTTCATTAAGGAGGTCCTCGACAGTTAACTTCACAATGGAGAAAGCAGTACTCTCAAACAAAATAAATTTTGCTTGGCCAGAAAAATCGATCACAGTTAGACGGAAGTTATACCTATTGAAAAAATAAGACAGGATATAAATTTAGATAATCTCTATTTTTTAAAGAACACCAAAAATAATATGCAAACTAACCATTTATCATCATACCTTGCAACAATTCGACCAAAAAATAAAAAAAAATCATACCTTGCAATAAATGATGTCACGTGGGATTGCAAATCTCACAAGAATATGCTACTCTCTTCATAGACTTAAA